AATTTTCTACCTGTCATCAATGAGCTCAACATATTCTAAGATCTGTCAACGCTAGTGTCAGAATACATAAGTTTGACAATACCCAAGGGGGAGAGGATGGATCTGATGCTTCTGAAAATTTTTATGCCAAATTGCTGAATCTGTTTTGTGCAACATTGAAAATGGTGTAGCAGCACTGGCTAGGATCATGAAGAAAGCAACTGGGAAGCCTACTGGAAAAGGGAAGAGGAAGTTGAATAATTGTCCAGAGCTAGAATACCTTCCCCTCATATTTGAACTTGAAAAGCAAGCAAGTAACTTCAATTAAGATAAAGTTCGTCCAACGATTGCAGGAAAGAGCATCAGAATTAGACTCCGAAGACACTCTTATGGGGTGCAAGATGCGGAATCCAAGAGAAGAATCATCCATTGATGAAGACATATCTGATTATGAAACTGATCTTTAATATGACTTCTAACTTGACATAGTGTTGAGTGACGGGTAGCTTAGTTAGTTTATTTTTCTAATGATTGGATCTTAACTTGAGAAGCAAGCTTGGTTATGCAAGAGCCACCAACAAGAAGAAATGTCAAGAGTTACGCAAGATGTCAAGTATTTTCAAGTCAAAGAAAAAGAAGCTGAATAAATTTGAGCTCGAAGAGAGGTACATGATGATGCTCAAATTATAGTGTTCACTCCCACATTTGACACGTTCTCCCCTTCTATAGATGCATCTTCAGTATATTTTACTATATTTCATATAAATATTGTAACTATTGGACCAATGTGCCTCTAATAGACCTTGGGTGTGTTTTATACTATTTTACCCTTTTGGTGTTATTTTGTGTATTTCAGGAATATGTTACACTCAAGAGGAATATGAATTATCAAATGGATTAGTTGGAGGAATATAGAAACTCATAGACTCAAATAAAGATAGATTTCACATTGAATACTCACATGCTTATCTAAGGGGTCGTTTGGATGTAGGTTTGTTGTGAGAGATTTGTGAGGAATTTTAAAACAATCTCTAAATATGCAGGATTTTAAAACAATCTTGCGTTTGGGAATATGAGAGATTATGGGCATAAGAGATTTTGAAATCTCACATTTTTATTTCTTTCTTTCTTTCCAAACTTGTCCTTCCTTCTTCTCTCTTCTACTACCTCTCTTCGTGCACCCAAAATTGAAAGGCTAGTGTCGTCTTCGAGATCTTCTCATCTCCCATCGTCTCTGACTCACTCCTACTGTCACTCTAGAAAATGGCAAAGTGTAACCACTTCCTAAAGCGTAGTATAGCGGGTTTGGGTTTTAATGTCAACCCAGGTCCTAGATGTGATGACTACTCAGCGAATTCTTATTATCTAGCGGTGAAACTTTAGTGCAAGTTCAAACAAGCAAACAAGTAAAGCAAGCAATTAAACGGTTGTTATCAAGTTGAGAGAGGTCACCCGGATATGGTTCCCCCTAGACTGCAGTTAAGCCGGATTGCAATTTACCAAGTTTAGTTTCAATGATAGTTATACTGCGGAAGGTTCTTAAACAGTCTGAAGTCTCGACTAAAGGTCTCAAGACCCTCTCAATCTGAGTCTCCAGCGGGCGACTAACCTCCACCGGAGTAAACAGATTGAGGCCCTAATGAACAAACCCTCCACTACCGAAGTAACTTCGGTACAGAATAGTGAATTGGCTCCTCGACTAAAGTCGTCAATTTACTACCTTCAATTAAGGGTGCTCTATCAACCTAGGCAGATATTCTCTTTCTAGGTTAAAGCAGAAACAACAGGAATTTGATCAGGATTCAAGTCATTCAATCATTCAAGCCTCAATTGAATATAATCAAATCATAAAACTTGTACTTGGGTTCATACAATCAGACCTAACATACAAATCCAGGGTTCTCCATACCCAGATGAATGGGAAAACTACTCCATGGAGAGAGAAGCAAAAGCAGATTCAGATGCGAAAACCATACTGTGAAGGATGGGTTTCTGCTCCTGGTCGTCAATCGACACTTCTCCAAGTGTGAGTCGAGCTCCAATGGTGATGAAGATCAAGCTAGGGCACTTGGGAACTCTGGTTCGTCGCTTTCTCTCTCTAGGAATCGCTCTGTCTCTCTAAAACTCGGAACTCCTTCTCTTTTGGCTCAAATCTGCCTAAAAGGCTGACCCTGGGCAAAACACGGTCGAGGGCACGACCGTGCTTTGATTTTTCCCGCCCGTGTTTTGCCCCGTGTTAAAAACACGCCCGCGTCAGCCAAAACACGGTCGTGCCTAAATATGGACACGGCCGTGTTTTGCTTTAGGCGCGCCCGTGTTTTGCTTTTCCATCAGTTCAGCTCTCGGCAATAAAAACACTAGCGTGCCTCTTTGTGTACACGGCCGTGTTTTGGTTTAGGCCAGCCCGTGCTTTGGACTAGGAGTGGGCATTCGGACGGTTCGGTTTGAATACCGGGTCCCTGAATTTTCCCAACACTCAAACCGAATTCGAACCGAGTTATAATTCGGTTCGGTCGGTTTAAACCGAACTATAATTCGGTTCGGTTTTTCACACAAAACCAAATTTGTGAAGCTACTTGTATTTTCTCACTTTTAAATTATTTTTCACCCCTAATATAAACAATATTTATCAATTATATGCATCATCAATGATAAAACCAAACTTTTTAACACATAAGTCATAAAACATTTAAAATATTTAAGTCTAAAAACAACTAAAAACATAAAAATCCACCATTTGGAGCTTGCAATTATAGTATTTCGGTTTTTCGGTCGGAAATTCGGAAATTCGGTTCGGTTGAAAGAACCCTGATTTCCGAACTATCCATATTTTCCTTCCGAATTCCGAACCGAATAGCATTAATTCGGTTTCGGTTCGGGTTTACCGAACCGTTTGCCCACCCCTACTTTGGCCCCAGCTCGACCGAATGACTTCCAAATACCCTGAAACTCGTGCTTAGCCTTTCCTTCGACGTCCGGGACCTGAAATATGAAAAAGTAGCACAACCCGGCGTAAAACGCGCCAAAAATACACGACTACTAGCCGCAAACGGATAAGAACTAAGGGTGCAAACATGTGCAAATACATCGTTATCAGTCTCCCTGTCGCCATCTTCTAGAGAAGAGAAGCCAATGTTGTTGTTTGCCAGAGGTATTCGTCATCTGTCCATCGTCGAAGTCCCTATCATCATCTTGAGAAGCCGTTGCCATTCTCAAGAAGAGGTCGTCATCGTCTCGAGAAGCTATTGTCGTAATCTTCCAAACGTCGTCGTCGTCTACCCATCATCAGCAATCCATATATGTTGGCATCATCTTCTTGTCACCATCACCATCACAAAGGGTCTGAAGCCGACAATTAGGACGTTTTTGGCTCTCCTCCCTCAATCCCCCGTCTTCTTCTTCTTCTTCTTCTCCCTTTCCTCCCACCGCCTCGGCAGATGTGTGAAATTTTTGGCGTCGGGGAGATTGCAAGTCCCGATTTTTTCAGAATCACTCCAGATCCGGTCGCTTGTTGCTCGATCTAAACTTCGCTGCACAATCATCCACCTTCGGAGAGCTTCTACCTTCCCCCGAAAAATCAACAACCCAGTCCCTAGCGTTTCCACCTCCGTCGTCTCCTCATCAATGCTCCAGTCGTCGATCTGTGTTGGTTTTCTGGGTACCTCATTTTGTCAAATATGAAGGAAGAAGGGGCAAAATTGTATTTTGCTGTCTTTAAATATAAAAATCCTCATATTTAAACCTAGGTATTTAAAATGTGGGATTGTGGGAAAATCATAGGCTTTAGAAAATCCTCATCGAAACCATGTTTATTGTGTAGACCTCGTTTGTAACCTATCTTTCGAAGTGAAATGTAAATACATAATAACTTCTATAAATTAATATAGTCTGGACCGTGAAAATTATTAGTTTATAGTAGTTATTAATTAATCAATAATTAATAATTATTAGTTTAAAGAGGTTTTTCTTATGAAGTACGTTTATCGTATATTCCAAACATTTCAAGTTCATACGATAACTTATCGCATTCTACGTATTCATTGTACTAAAATTCAATAGAAGAAAATTATGTATTCTTCCAAGATAAATGTATTCAATGTATTCTTGTAGATGGTCTAGATTCATGTTTTAAATTACTTGCATCCCTATATTCTTTGATCATGCATTCAATATAATTCATAGAATATATGGTAACCTGATCACTATAAATAGTACTAAAAAACATTGTAACTCCTAGCTATATTATAAATATCCAAATGAATTGTAAAAAAATATTATTTTATTGAGTTAAAAATACATTTATTTATGTTTTGGTTCTAAAAAATTATTATTTTATTAAAGGGTAATGTCTATTTTTATCTAAACATTTTTCAGATTCTTTTATATTATCCAAATCTATCGAAATACTAAAAATTAGTCAAATGTTAACTTTCAGTTAGCAATTGTTTTAGTAATATTGACTTGGCAACATGATACTGACTTAGAAGAGACACATGAATGTCAACATTGCAAAACTGTAGTATTATAATTTTTAACTAAGAAAAGAGTTATAAAATTATTAACGATAACGTAAAAATGGGCTAATATTTTAATGCATTATGGAAGATTTGACTAATTAATTGCATTTTAATATGTTTGGATAATATAAAAGAATCTGAAAAAGATTTGGGTAAAAATAGATATTACACTTTATTAAATTTGCTCATTTTTAATACAGGTCCAAGTCGGAACAGGAGAAATTATTAATTTATTGATTATTAACTTAAAGAGTTTATACGGTGAGTTGACCACCTTTGAAACTTTTTTTAATTATTAATTTAATCCAGTAAAAGGAAAAACATTAAGTCAATAGTATTAGTAGCCGACGGAATTAATTAACCATCTTTTTAGAGTCAAAAAGGCAAAATCGGGCCCGTGTGCAAGCCACAAGTTCAACGAACTTCTTCTTCCTCAACCTCAATCATTTCTGGCTGCCTGCTGCAGCTTCTCTGAGCCACCGAAGCTCCCATCCAACAACTACCATGGCGTCTCTCTTAGCCAACGGCATATCGAGCTTCCCTTCGAAACCCATCTCCGATTCTCCCAAGCTCCACAAACCCTTTTCATCGAAGACCCTAATTTCCAAGCCTCTCAGGACGCCCAACTTCCTCAAAGTCCGAGCAGATGTCAGTTTGGATCCAACCGCCACCATCACTTCCGATTCAGGTAACCTCCCTTCAACTTCCACCCTTAGCTCCGATGAAAAAATCAAAGAAATCCTTCGTAATCGCGATTACAAGAAGAAATTCGGGTTTACGATGGATATCGATTCCTTCTCGATCCCGAAGGGTCTTTCCGTTGAAACAATCAGGTTGATTTCCTCGCTGAAAGAGGAACCTGAATGGATGCTTGATTTCAGACTGAAAGCCTTCGAGAAGTTCCTGGAAATGAAAGAACCCAATTGGTCTGATAATCGATACCCGCCGATTAACTTCCAAGACCTCTGCTACTACTCAGCTCCTAAAAAGAAACCCACTTTGAATAGCCTCGATGAAGCTGACCCAGAGCTCCTTAAGTACTTTGATAAATTAGGCGTTCCCCTGAATGAACAGAATAGACTAGCGAATGTTGCTGTTGATGCTGTTCTTGATAGCGTATCAATAGCTACAACTCATAGGAAGACTCTAGAAAAGGCTGGTGTGATCTTCTGTTCAATATCTGAGGCAATACAGAAGTACCCCGATTTGGTGAAGAAGTATCTGGGTAAAGTTGTGCCAAGTGAGGATAACTACTACTCAGCTTTGAATTCTGCAGTGTTTAGCGATGGTTCATTTCTCTATATACCGAAGGATACAAAGTGCCCTATGCAGGTTTCCACCTACTTTAGAATCAATGCAATGGAAACGGGGCAGTTTGAGAGAACTTTGATTGTTGCTGATGACCGGAGTTTTGTTGAGTACTTGGAAGGGTGTACTGCGCCTTCTTATGATACTAACCAGCTTCATGCTGCTGTGGTTGAGTTGTACTGTGCTGAGAGTGCTGAGATTAAGTACTCTACTGTACAGAATTGGTATGCTGGCGATGAGGAAGGGAGAGGTGGGATCTATAATTTTGTTACTAAGCGTGGACTTTGTGCTGGGGATCGATCTAAGATATCTTGGACTCAGGTGGAGACGGGTTCTGCGATTACTTGGAAGTACCCTAGTGTGATCTTGGAAGGTGATAACACTGTGGGGGAGTTCTATTCGGTTGCTTTGACTAATAATTATCAGCAGGCAGATACTGGGACTAAGATGATTCACAAGGGGAAGAATACAAAGAGTCGGATTATATCGAAGGGTATTTCCGTTGGGCATTCGAGAAACTGTTATAGGGGTCTTGTCCAGGTTCTGTCAAAAGCTGATAATGCCAAGAATTCATCTCAGTGTGACTCGATGCTTATTGGTGATACTGCTGCTGCCAACACCTATCCTTATATCCAGGTACTCTTCTTGGGTTTTGTTATTTTTCACGTTAGACTTGCATTGTCTTCCCTGGCTTCAAAACCATTTCATATCGAGCGAGTGCTACCATCTGTGATATCTATACTATAGGCATCTAAAAGTAGATCTTGTCTCCAAATTACAAATGCGAGACTGTTGTGGTTATTGTTGAAACTTGTTATATGTTTCAAATATTTCAAGGCTGACCTTTATTCACCTTTTTGGTTGCCAGCTCCTTCTCATATATTACAAGACTAGTAACTATGAAGCTATGTTCGTGACCAAAACGTGCATAGTTCAATATTTGTATTTTCTGTTTTCGAAACCAAATTCCAGTTCGGAAGTTAAGAGGTGGTTTAGGAATGCATTAAACTATTTGACCAAGTCATTCGTTGACGAAGCCATATTCCTTTATCGCCGAGTAACTTTTCATCAAAAATTTCGGTGTTCACTTATTTTGATGAGGATCTACATTTTTATCTGTTTCTCAATCCCGTTCTGCAACTGCAAGGAATTTGCTAGAGGCAGTTGAGGTGGAATGACTTTTGTTGCACCTTTTTCATTTATGCTCTGGGAGAAGCCAGCTTCCAGCTTTCCTAACTGCTGTGGATGAGTTATACTTCATAACGGTACTTCTTTGCTTTGCAGGTGAAGAATCCCACAGCTAGGGTGGAACATGAAGCCACCACATCCAAAATCGGAGAGGATCAACTGTTCTACTTTCAGCAGAGGGGAATCAACTATGAAAGGGCGATGGCTGCGATGATTTCTGGGTTCTGCAGAGATGTGTTCAATGAGCTTCCTGATGAATTTGGGGCGGAGGTGAATCAGTTGATGAGCTTAAAGCTTGAAGGTTCCGTTGGTTAAGCAGCTGTTCTTCTCCAGAGTGCAGAGGAATGGATTCCTCTTGTTTTTGTTAATAAAAATTGGACTCTGATGTTGTAGTAGTAGACTTTTGGTTTGTAAGTTGTAACTGGATTGACACTACCCTTCCCTTTTCTTCCCCATTTTCACCTTACCTTGTGTAATCTTTTCCCAAATAGCATACGGACCATTTACAATCAGGTATACAAAAGTAAGCTTCTTTTTGTAATCATAAATAAGTACCTGATGTATTTTCATATTTGTTCTCATTGTAAAAAGAAGGATAACTTAAAGTTATTGTTGATCAATTGGAGAAAGGGTCACTGAAGTTTGGATTCACTAGACTTTTATTTGACAATAGTAACATTCACTAGGGCCATTAGATTTTTTGCTGTTGTTGGAAAGACGGATGCCAAGCATCCTAATTCATATTAATAAAACGATGGGTGATACCATAACATTGTAGGAGAGCCACGAACAAAGTTTCGGGTCGCTCACATCAATAGGATGTGTGTCCAAAGGGAACTTATGACCTATACAAGCTAGGTAATCAGCAGCAAAATTACTCTCCATGTACACATGGGAAACTTTAACATCTCATTCTCTATCGATTAACTCTCTAATATGATTGGCGAGGAGGCTAATTAGAGAATGTATGAGATTTTGATATTAGTTCGGGCGAGTTTACACTTTATGATTTTAGCAGTTGGATGATTTTTTTTTAAGGGATACTTTTGCAACCAAACCAAACAAAGTAGCACCAAACACACATTTAACTCGTCTGATCCGTCCGAGATCATCTCTATTGAACACACCAACTCGTTAATGGTCCCAAAGTTCAATGACTGTCAGGGTTTAATTGACCCAAAAAAGAGATGCAGGGCGAGTAATGAAATTAATTGCAACTAAGAAGGGAAAAAAAAAAGAATTTCCTCCAAAACTACTGCACCTGGCAGAAAAATGGTTTTGGCGGCCTTCTTCTTCTCTTTCACCTCCCACCTAAATGACCAAGTTCTGCCGGCCTTCAGTAACAGATCAACTGCAACTGTAGCGACGATCAGAACAAGAATCAGCAGCAGAAGTTTAACGGTCAGGGCAAGCACAGCCCAGAATCCCAAAGACGACGACGACGATGATGTAAACCCTTGTGAGAGAATTTAGTTAGAAATTTGGCACCGTTGATCGAAGAAACAAATTGGGGGTCTTTTTTGTTTCTTTTTTAATGACTGGGTTGGTGAAAGTTGGTGACTGTTTGTTGTTGTGGTTGTTGTTTTTGTTGCTTGTTAGGATAGCGGGGAACAATTCTCTTCTTCCATGGAGCACCAACAAAATCTTTTTTAAGTTTTAGCTACAGAGTCGTTATGTCCCAGGTTCTTTTATGTTTAGCCTTTCTTGTTCTACATGGGTTCTCATTCTACTATACAATGGTTGTTTGATTCCATGAGTTCGTCTTATGAATGTTTGGCTGCTAATGATGTCGGATTCCGGGTTTCATTGTTTGGCACCAGATTGGATTTGATTCGGTTTCAGTGACATGCCCCAGCCTGGATACAGATTTTACTATACAGGCGTGTTTGTTTTTGTGTGTGCTACTGTAGAATGAATCAGAGTTGTGTTCCGTTCATTTTAGTGTAAAGCTTATGTTCTATTGGGGTCCTAGAGAAGGAGTTTCATGTCGCTTTGGCTGAGTTGCTTGAAGAAATAGAAGTCGAAACTCCTTTGTTCCTCGTAGTTCAGGTTTGGATGAATCATGTTTGCATTTGATGCAATTCTGTAATGTTTGAAATGTGTTGCAAGACTTATTTCCGGGATTCGGCCCTAAACATGTAACTATGTTTGAAGAACGCAAGCAAGGTATCAAAACTTGCAATCATCAACACCCCACTCACTGTTTCATCTCGTTTTCCTGGCTTACTTCAACAGCTAAGATGAATCGTCCTGCTAATGAAATGCTTGTCCATCAACATAGCTATAAACTACTTTGGAGGATTGATCATGGATGGTTCTTCTTCACTTAAATTTATTTTTGGCTGCTTGTTTGATGCAGAGCCCCACTCTTTGGCGAATTCACCTGCCAGAATGCCATCATCGTTGAGCGGTTTATTGAAGCAGGTAGCCTGTATGTATCCCCAACGCGTTACTATTTTGGGAGTTGTGAATGTCCAGAAGTAAATCATTTGTATTCTTTGGTGAATAAAATGACAGTGGCGAGTATTGAATCATGGATGAAACTGGTCGTTGGCAGCTAGAAGAACTACTGAAGCTCTGAGGCAGTTCTTTTATTAAACATTGAAATGCATAGAGACAGTGGTGAGTATTAAATCATAAATGAAACCAGTCGTTGGCAGCTAGAAGAACTACAGAAGTGTGGTCGTTACTCGTTAGGGTTTGATTCATGCCATGTAATGTATGCAGTCTCGACAGATATGCTCCTAAGGACATTCTCTAGCCAGGGGAGATCTGAATATGTAATGCGTTGCTCCTCTGGTTTTTGCAGAGATGACAAGATAAGAGGAGAAAAAAGGCAAGCTGCACAGGAAAACAAAAGGGTACAGCAGCGTACATAAACATATGCCGCTTTGTTTTTAGATTTATTTTGTCGACATGATTCTAGTCCTTAAACCATGCACAAGTGAGTATTATTGACAAACTATGCTCAAAATTGCTATATTATTGATCCGAAGTGAATATCATTGCCAAACAATGTTATAAATACATTTACGTTGCTGTAACATCTGCAAAATAAGATCCTGACCAATTAAATTAAAGCAAGAGGAACTCCTTCTCCTTCATTGTTGTTGGCCATGCGGGTTTAATGGTTGGAAGGTAAGATCCATACAGGTAATGGGGAAATGAGGTAAGGGTTTTCATGAACCGAGGCAGTAGAGTATAATTGATTAATGGTTTGAGTCCTGAGGTTGTAAACACCCATGTCAGCAACTTCATCTCTATGATTCAGATCGTCTGTGAAATAAATAGAATCACGAGTAATTTGAGGGTGGTCTTTGATGGAAATCCAAGTAGCAGTGTTGTAGCCCAAAAAAAGAGCAAAATCTCCAATACTTCCAACCTCATCCCATCTCCTTCTATCTTCATGTACCTTGAAAACTTTAAATTCACCAGTAAACACTGCTCTCTTTCTATAACGATCGGCCAACTGAATATGATCATAATTTTCGTCATCGGACTCACTATCACTACAATAATCATCAACTTCATTGTCACCATCATCATACTCATCATGGTCGTCGTCATAATCATCATTGCTCAACTCATCATCTATATCAATGCCACCATCGTCGTCATCATCATCACAATCATCGTGGTCTTCTTCTTCTGGAAACCTTAGATACCTAGTCACCATCATCAACTCATCATTGGTGGGACTTATTACTAAGTAGTTATGGTAAGCATTGGCCTGAGGAGCATCAATAAACAACGACAGCCTTGGACAATCTTGGAGAGAAAGATCACAAACATAGACTCTCCCATCTTGAACAAGGGCATAAAATTGACCTTTCCAAAACACAACATCCGTGAAAGCATTCAATTTTGGTAGATCACGGTCGTCCCCAGGAGGAATCACCGTCCATTTCTGGTCTTCATAAGGCTTGCAAAACGCTAGGGTATAATTACGACCCGTGCGGATGACCATCACAACACATTCCTTCATGGTGGGTTCAGTCGAAAAGGAAACCTTGGATATATAGTGACGCTCAATTCTCTTCTTCCCCTCTGCTACTCGCAACCCTTGGCAATCTAGATGCAAGTATTCTATCCCGACATGCTCGGGGCGAAACTCCAACACATCAGGGAAAGCGGTGATTGGGGGCAGAGAGATGTTATCATTCGTGATAGGGTTGAGTAATGACAATGATGGCGAACTTTCCATCATGAACACCCACCCGAAATCGGAGCCACGACAGGTTTTGTTCAAACCCTGAGGTGACTCAATGTGGTGAAATTGTTGCTCCTCGACATCGTAGAAACACCTACAGCAATCGGTACTTGTAGTACACCCAACCCTGGCTGATGCGGCATAAGGGCTGTTGTTGCGGCAATAGGGAAGCATAAGCCAAGGGATAGATTGCCTGAATCTCGACGAAGCGAGAGCCTGTCTCCAGCGCTTGCAAACTGCCCGAAATCGGATGAAATCCTTCAGCTTGGTTGAACGGCAGCCAATCGTATTCAAAAGCTCAAGCGGCAAAGCCGACCAATTTGGCTCTTCCGCGGAGATCTTCAGCTCACTCGTCATTGTGAAGTGCTAGAGATGACTGAGATGTTGGTTGGGAATAGTATTCTGTCTGTTCCGCCCCTCCCTCGTTAATCTATCTGTTTATAGATGGACTAAGCGGCCGATGATCTCCGATACCTAAACAGAAACAATAACCAACAGTTCCTTCTCCATCGCTGTTTGGGATTTCCCTCTCCAGTCCACAACTCCCATTTGACAATCATCACAAAAAGTTAATGCTAACATTCTAAACCCAAAATTACAAAGTAAAAAATGATTAGTTTGACGGATGATGAGATAATTGAAATGGTTTCTTTTTATGCAAATAAACAAACAAAAAAAAAAAAGCTTTCTTAGAAAAGCTTTAGGCTAATACAGTAATACGCCCAATTTTTGTAGTATCTCTCTACTCATCTCTTGAATTGTCTAAAAATAATGAAGGTTTCGAGATTAATTTGTTAACCGTTTCAAAATTTTTAGCTGTTAGCGTGAGCAATCTTTATTTAACAAATCACTACTAATACGTTGGACAAATCACATATTAACAAAGGACGAAAGACATTCATAATTATTAAAAAACAATTTCTTATCATTAACTGATAAGATGTGTCTTGGATAAAATAGATAGTTTTTCTAAGAATCATGAAGTCAACTTTGCTTAGTTTGAAGTAGTGCAAAGATGAATGATCTCCTAAGAAGTCAAGATGATACTTCCTAAAACCAAAATAATATGCTTAAATGGACAATATTTTACTCATAAAAGGTTTGGGATGTTACATTCTCTATGTCCTCTTTTTTATCGTAACAAGAAACAACCAATTATGTAATCTCCACTTATTTGCCTTTTTGGATTATTGTTACAATTTCTGTACTCTTATCATTTTTATTTTTATGCAAATGCCTTCTATATACTGTTTGCTTGATGTGATAGAAAATCTCATCTAAAATTGAAAATTGTTAGAACTCCTTGATTCTTTACCCGGCCTGTTGGCTGAAGAATTTCATTTTATCATATATTAATTATTTTATCTATATTTTAAAAATATTTTCGTTCTTATTGATTTTTATGCTCTCTAAGTGAGTAACGGTTTGCCTATATTCCAAAATTCTTAGTACCTAGTAGATCATAATTATTGCGTTCTTTCTATACAAATTTTTTTAAATTTTCGAGTTAAACAAATTTGAGAGGATTCGATTAAGATAAATAGGGAATTTGGAAAGTATCTTCTTTCTCCTTTGGATCCGTTTAATGCAGTTAGAAAAAAAAAAAAAAAAGACACAAGAGTGATGAAATTACCAGTCTGCAACTGTCTCTCCTCTTTTTTATTGGGAAATTACTTTGGATTATTAGATGGAGGAAGAGATGGAGGGGGAATGATATATAGTTTTTTTCTTCTTCTGTGATTTTGTTGATAGGGTTTCGTGCATTATCCCTTCCTTATTATATTGATGTTGTGTACGTTCACTCTTTGACCATTGCGTTCTATAAAAGTGGACACTCTGACAATCTCTCTCCTGCTCTCTGGTCACCTAAGGATAACCAAAGCTGCATGGAGAGGAAGAGACAAAGGAGACGAGACTTCATATGTAATTTGCGTATTCAACCATACCATTACCATAGCGGTCGCATATTCCCAATCGGTGGTCTGAAATAATACTCCAAATTTAAGACAAACGCTTGAAGTAAGAGTTAGCTGTGGGATTCTTCATTTCTATGCATACAAAGGCATGGGGATTTAATTATATTTACGATTGGAAACAAGGCAAGAACCCCCCCTATCTCATCTGTATATAACACCAAGAAAATGCATGGGAATGAAGGCACACAGTAAAGGCAAGAGAGAAAAGTGAAAATCGGTGAGAAGAAGAAAGAATGATTTTCATGATTTCCCCAAAAAATCTAATAACGTTAGTCCAAATAGTGTTGGCCGTCTTGGGGCTATGGGTACTGGGCAGCGCCAGCGGTGGTCGATCATGATCTGCGACGGCAACGAGTTCACGGCTGGGGATGCCGTTTCGTTTGGACTTGGAGATTTGATTAAAGAGTCAGCTACGAAACGGGTGTGTGGCAACGAGAAGGACAGCAAAACTGTGATCCAAGGTTGGCGGGGACGCGGGGCTAGCTTCTGAATCTGAATCCATGCGCGCGGTTGACGTGTGGACAGAAAAAATGTTCGTCAAACAATCATACAAGATATATCGATCGCACGAACCCAAACAATGATGCTCGGAGGGGAAGATAACATAATCATCCTTCACCTTCCTACTTTGGCGTTTGAATTTTGGCCTTGTATAAAATAGCGTGTCCCTAGTCGTAGCTTTATATAATAATTTTACTACAATAACACGGGCAATTGTTTCCATTTCCTAAACTCTATATTTGAATATTGAATGATTTTTTTTTCTTTCTTTTAACCGAGATACTGTTTTAACATGAATCATCTGTTCAGAATAATGATTATGAGATTATGCACTCTAATTGTCTAACAAATAAACGCACGAAATTATATATGTATATGGTTCAGACTAGCGTACGCCCTAACCGTACATCTGTAGAGTTTTGTTATTTAGGTCATGAATTAACCAGAGTTTGGGGCATGATACTATATCATAACCTCTAATGGATGAACTCCATTTCCCAATTCTCTAACCCAAACTATAAATTCACGGGTTCGATTTGTCAAAATTATCAAAGTACAAATAATAGGTGTGAACCCAAGCATGCAACAAAGGGCTGTCCACTTGCTTCTAGTTTGGTTACCAAACCAATTCCCAGAAAACCCGAAATTGTTCTCTTGGGAACCCAAACCAGACCCGATAATATTGTTGTTTGGTTCTGGGTACCCGAAAACACTAAACTTGGCTGGCTTGCTAGTTGCTTGTTCGGTTAAGGGACCTCGAAACTCAAATTTTGCCTCCTATTTTAAGAGTTTTTCCCTCTCCTCCACCGTCTCCACAATTTATCTTCAAAACTCTCAGCCATCAAAATCACCCCTCGTTTCTCCACCACGAGATGGCTTTCACCAACTACAAGTATCAACCTGTCGGTGTCCACCGTATCTCCACCGTTGAATGAATACATATCCATTCTTCCACCCTCTCGATTTTCTCTTCTCTCCCTACGAAACTGTTTTACTTCTTTCGCAAGAGAAAAAAGATGACCAGCCACAACAGACGACCCAAACCACCTTAAATCAACAAGAAAAATGTCGATCTTGGTGAGGTTTTGGCTTGCATGTGATTTTTTTGTCCCAATTATTGTGTTTTTAGTTTTTTAGGATTCTAATCTTTCTTTGGGCTTCTTTTTATTCCGGTCGGATCTATTGGGAAAAAGATGAGAGGAGGAGATGAAGCCAGGTAAGGAATCGATATCTGAGTAACCCTTACACTAGATCGGAGAAGGGTTGCATTACCCAGAGGCACCGGAGAGGGAAACCTTGATCTCGAACGAGGGAAACTTGCGATTGGATGGCAGGATAGGTTTGAGGATGGGATATTTCCCCGTTGAAAGGATAACAACTTGCATGGTTGGCAAAGGGATGGTAAATTATGTCCTCCCCTCATTCCTCTGTAGAAGCCTCGAAGTCGAAGGGTTCAGAGGAGAATTTTTGAGAAACCAATCAAACTGCATAACCAAAATGCATAGCTGACGTCATTGGAGGCAAAACTAAAGCTGAGGGCATGAGGGGCAAAACTAAAGCTTCTGGTTTTTTGGGTCCTTATCGAGTTTCGGCTTACAACAAAACTACAACCGTTACTTCACCTATTATAGTTGAAATCGAAAACCTAAACCCCACAAATATAGTACCGATTCAGTTTTGGGTTAATCCAAAAACCTGGAACCGATCTGACAACCCTAGTATAGAGGTTGAAGTTCCAGTGCTTAGTGTAGAGACATGTGTGTCATTGCTTAGTATAGAGGATAAAGTCTCAAAAGACGGTGCGCCAGAAGAATCCACTCTCAAGTATCTCTCTCGCCTTCAGGTTACCGCTATATGACGCCCTCCTGCTCGTACAGTATGACAATACCCGATGATTTCTGTGAATTCTTTGAACAAGACGCACCTCTGAATAATGCTCTGAATAATATTATCAGATTAAATGTCATAATATTTAAGATTAGCAAAGAACTTTCTCTTTTCTTGGTATGACAATCCATCAGGTAACTCTTTAGTGCAGAGGTAGTTGGCTATACCAGCAAACCATGGTCCTTGATCGGTCTCCAGAGAGATTTCCTTCAATTGTTCATCGGAAAAGAAATCATTGATTTCTTGTCTCTCTGGTTGGGCATCTCTTGCTTCTTCCAATCGGGATAGGTGATTGGCACATACCTATGCTCCCTTCTTGTCTTCGGTTTGAATATCCAATTCTTGTAACATTAGTATACAACGAGTGAGCCTTTGTTTTGCATCAGCTTTAGTCATTAGATGCGCCAAACTGCTTGATGATTGGTGAATACTATTGTCTTAACCATCTTGAGGTCGATAACAATGATAAGTGCCAAAATCTCCTCCTTCGTGGTTGTGCAGTTTCTTTGCTCTTCATTGAGTGTTCTACTCGTATAGTATGTTGGATGGAAATGCTTATCCTTTCTTTGTCCTAGGACATCCCGACTGCATAATTACTAGCGCCACACATCAATTGGAATTTTAATGACCAACTTGGTGATGTTATAATGGGTGTCTCTATCAATTTTTTTCTTTACCAGCTCGAATGCTGCAGGAAGCACTCGTGTATGTGGGAAGTGGCATCTTTCTCCAGGAGCTTTGTAAGTTGTTGATTGATTTTGGAGAAGTCTTTGATGAATCGTCTATAGAATTCTGCATGCACTAAGAAACTTCTTATTTTTTTGACAAAGGTGGGTGGTGGAAGATTGGTGATGGTTTCTCTCTTTGCTTGATCCACCTCAATTCCAATTTTTGAAATCTTGTATCCTAGCACTATTCCTTGGATTTTTTCCAGACATACCACCATTAATTTATTTTTTACAAAAATACCACCCAACCAGGAATAATTCCAAAAATACCACCATTTAATGAAAACCGCATGGGGAAGGGGTGGTTTAAAGGAGAACC